TTAAGGGTAGGTTTTCCCTCACCCCCTTATAGAATTGAAGGGTTGATCAGTCTAATTTGTTAATATTAATTAATTTGACGATAAATGAAACTGTTTACCATTATTTCGGGATAAATTTAAATGTTACGTAAGAAATTCGATAAAAGGGTGGTCACCCTTAAATCCTCAAACAGTCTCACTTTTGTTTTGGATGCGAGTGTAACATATATTTTTTTCAAAATTTTTGAATAAAATTTGCAATTATCTGGGCATTTTTTTAAATTTTTGTTTCAAATACAGGGGGTGGTTTACCCCTTAAAAATGATCGAACCGAGTCGAAAATTTTTCATTTTTCATATCTCTTGATGATGCAACTATTTTATTTGGTTCGGGCCGAAAATACTAAATCCATACATACAAAACAATTAAATCGATACCCATAAATCCAAAGGGGTGTAAATATGGTTTTCCGCCGATAAAAAAAAATACGTATGTCTTATTTTTACGTCTACTACAACATATTCAAAAATTATCAAAATCGGTGATTTACATTTGGGTAGTGTTACTTGTTAGATAGGTCTAGTATATTAATAATAACTATAAATATTTATAACACACTATCTTTTAACATGCCACTTGCAGAAAATTAAACATTTTAATTAAACCCATTTTCAGAAAATGAAACAACACATTGTAATTAAACACATTTTCAAATAAATTTAAAATAACAATAACAGATACTATAAGAGCCGAATTTGTTGACTTTCGCAACAAAAGAGATAATAATATTTGGAAATATTCACGCGGAAATTAATATTTTTTTAATTATTTGAAGTAAAACGTTAAACGTAAAACGTTAAACAAAAACAACGTTATCCACAATTATATGACAGATATAGGTCAACAACATTGATATTGATAGGTGCGCACACACATACACACAAGTCCATATAAATATGAATAAAAAAATTTTTCATGTAAAAAGTTAATATGTAATATTTTTATGAAGTAAATATTGTGACGTGACGATTTTTTGTTATTGTCCGTCACTCGGAAAGTCGTGAGGAAGCCGAAAGCGGGCTTCCCGGCTGCAGGTGGATGTCGCGTCCTAACGGTAAGGCGAATAGGACGCGAGCCTGCGTTTTGGCCCGAATTTTGTGTATAGAATAAGAGTGCGGGTGACGAGAGGTCGGGTCAGGAGGAAGAGGACTTCAGGGAAGATCTGCTGCCGCCGAGGGAGAGAGAAGTCAGGCTCAGGAGCATCGGACGGACCAAAAATCTCAGGTGAATCGCTTCCTAATTATTATTAGCAAGTAAGGACCGACAGTGAATTCGTTCTAAGGAGGCCTGTTTTAGCCGAAGACCCCTGCTAACGAGGAGAGCGCAGAGAGAGAGAGAGAGAGAGCTGCCGAGGTGGATTAGTCCTGAGCTGCCGCAAGGGAGCCGCTGGGACGGAGTCGACGGACACCGCGGACGAGCGGAGGACAGCTGCTACCAGGGCGAGTCCGACAAGCACGTCCTCCGCGACCCGGAGCGTCCTCCGAGCCAGGCGAAGGCGCCGCGAGGCTCGATGACTGAAGAAACAACGGCTGCCGATAAGACGAAGCTCCAAGGTCGGAAAGACCGACCGGCCTGAAAGATCTAGCTTGTAAATAACAGCTAATGCAAAACAACGGCCGAATAACGGGGGATTCCATCCTGCAAATCGGCCAATCAACGGCCGATAGCTGTCGGAACAAGCAATTCAAACCTGAGATAAAACGAGGTCCCAACGATAGCTCGAGAGCTTTTCCTGTGAGCTGTGCCTAGCGAGTGTGAAGGACGTGCCATCCATAGAGCTGACGACTAAAGACGACCTGACCTCCGCATCTGTAAGGCCGCTACCGCACGCGCGGAACTATTTTGTGAACCCAGAGGGGACCGCCGCTGCTCGTTGTCGACTGCCCCGCTCCGCCGTTTGGTGAGTCCGTTCCACGGAGAACGATTTTTAGTGATTAGTGTCGCAGAGCGGTGCGGCGTCGGGGAACGGGAGCTCGGCCGTCCATCCTGGGCGAGGGCCAGGGTTCGCGTTCCTCTTGCGAAAGGAGAAGCTCCGCGCATAGTGTAAAACCCATAGACGTATATAACTAGACTGCGCATGCTATGCTAGCCGTTGAAGCAAACATTTAAAAAGAGAAAGCAATATCGGGAGGATCTCTGTCTCACTCTAAATCACCCGTAGAGGGGGAAGTGAACTCTTTTCCCCTCAAGACTTCAGTAGCAGCAGGAGCGAAGCAGACAACATTCTGTAACTACTATAAGAAAAGCGCTGTAATTGATATATTTATTTAATAAAATATAAAGATGGTTAGATATTGTTGTATGTGCAAAGTGACATCAGGTCAAATCAGCAATGTATCTTTTCATAGGTTAGTAAATTTAATTTATATATGTATATATATACGTATATATACAAATAGTTTGTATGTATATTTGCACCAATAACATAACCCAAAAATTTTTTACAGTTTACCAAAAAATGAAGAAAAAAAACGGGAATGGATGGATGTAATAGGACATCCAGTAAGCTTACACAGTTCTGTGTGCAGTAAACATTTTAATGAATCCGATTTTGTGTACAAAACTATTGGAGCTTCTATAAAAAGATTTTTACATGATGCAGCTGTACCATTTGCAGAATTATGTGATGTTGACAAGGAATCATCTTCAAAAATGAATCCTGATGAAAATGCAGTGAACATGGTCAATGATATGCAAGATACAGTTGGTCAAACACCGACATTTACTCAAGTTTTAGACAATACATTATCTTCCTTAGGAGTATTTGAAAATGTAATTAACATTGGTAATAATAAAGATACCAATGTTAGTAATGAAAAAAATATGTTGACTGTACAAAGTAGCACTGAAACATTGAACATTTCTAGGTGTAAGAAAGACAATAAATCAAGTGCAACGGAAATTGAAAGTATACATCACGTCACCTCTTTAAAAAGGTATTTGATATCAAAGTAATATTTATGTATGTATGTTAGTAGTAGTTTGCAAATTTGTGTATTGATGGTTATTTTTTACTGATTTTTTATATTTATTATTTGTATTCATATCATTAGCTATGTAATAATTAAGTTTATATAAAAAATTGCAGGACATCTAGTCATACGAATGAAAATGTTAAAAGATTGTGTATAGCACGGTACATAGGAGATTTGAAAAGGGAAGATTTTACATCTGATAGAAGTTTTGAAATTTTCAGTGATTTTCGTGAAGAAATGCTGAAACATAAAAAAATATGTAAGCAGTCTATAAATAGATTAAAAAAAAAAATCTCTAATGTACAAGATATGTACAATCACCTTAAAAAGAATGGTCTCCTTTTTAATGAAGCTTCTGATGCTTTGAATGTAAGTACGTTACTCAGTGAGGATAAATGATGTGAAAATGTAACAATAGTCAACTATGCAGTTTATAAACAACAAATTGAATACATGAAATAGTACCTTGTTTGCTTCAATTTCTTGTGTATGAAGTTTAGCGTTATTATTAAATTGATGAATGAAAATATATTCAGCCCTAACAGCAAATATTTCTAATAGTGAGACTTAAATATGTATTACCTATTTTATTTTATTTTTTGATAGAAATATTTAACTTGTAAAAAGCACAGAGATTGTAATTATTATTTTATTTTTACACTTATTTTGATACTTATTTTTGTAAGTTATTTTTAACCAGCGAATCTAATGTAATCACATATTTTTCCAGATTTATATATAATACAAATATTGTTTTCTCGTAAACATAGGAAATGTGTAAATTAAATTAAATTATAATTAAGTAGCGTTTATAATTTTTTTGTCCAAAGAATTTAAAGCATTCACTACTTTCAAACACTTGAAATGAAGCTCTTAACTTCTAAATTACATAAATTTTTATTTCAAAAGAAGGCAAGTTAATATGTAAGTAATTTTAAATAATTTTTTTTATGAATTTTTTTTAACTATTATAAAATTGTTTGTCCTATATAGAATGAAAAAATAAAATTAAGTACCAACTAAGTAACTGCTCTGTGTATGATAATACATAACAACTTATAAAATTAATAACAATTTTTACATCAATATAATGTTTTTCATAATAATTTCATTTACGTTAATATTTTCTTCCATTTCTCTTTTTCCTAGATATGTTCCTCTCCAGCAGTCTCTGAAATTATTAACAAACTTTTAAATAAAAAACAAAAAAGCTTTTCTCCAGCACTGAAACAATTTTCCTGCACTCTGTTGTATTACTCCTCTAGTGCTTATAAATACGTTAGGGAAGAATTCCTTCACTCCTTGCCTCATCCTCAAACGATCAGGAGGTGGTTCACAACTGTTGATCTAAGCCCAGGAATAGGAAAACCTATTCTCGACAGTTTAAAAAATATTATTGATGAAGAAAGAGAGAAAGGAAAAGATTTGCAGTTCGGCTTGCAAGTCGATGAAATGTCAATTAAGAAACAATTGGAATTTCGGAATAATGTATGGCATGGAACAGTGGACATCGGATCTTGGAGTGGAAAAGCACAAGAAAACTCCCAAGCTTCGTATGCATTGGTTTTCATGCTTGTTTGTTTAAACGGCCACTTCAAAACACCTATCGCCTACTATTTTATTAACGGTCTATGCAGTGACTCAAGAGCAAATATTATCAATGAAATTTTAACATCTTTGCATGAAAACGGTATAAGTGATATAAGATCTTTAACATTTGATGGGGCTCCCTCAAACATCACAATGGTACAGAAGCTGGGTGCAAATTTGAGTATGGATGGAAATGACTGTTTTTTTAAACATCCAGTACACAATGAGCCAATCTTCGTAATTCCAGATGCTTGTCATATGTTGAAGCTAATACGAAATACAGTAGCAAAATATCGAATTATTGACAGCGATAATCAGATAATAGATTGGAACTTTATTGTAAAATTAGTGGATTGGCAAGAGGCAGAAAAAATACATGTAGGTACAAAGATACGCCGCCAACATGTTGAGTTTTACAATGAAAAAATGAAGGTCAAACTTGCAGCGCAGACGTTAAGCACACGAGTAGCTCATGCTCTACAATATTTACAATTAAAATATCCGAATGATTTCAAAAACGCTAGTGCAACGGCGAAATTTTGCCTAGTGATGAACGATATTTTCGATATTTTAAATTCAAGGAGAAAATATGGAAAAAACGAAAGTCAACAGTGCTTCGTAATGAGCATTGTTGAAAAATTACGTAAAAAAATTTGTCATTTCATTGATTATATTTCCACATTGAAAATTATTATTAAAGGTGAAACTAAACCGATCCTCGCTAGTAAAAATAAAACAGGCTTCTGGGGTTTTGTAATAGCTATGAAAAATTGTTTGAATCTTTTTGACTATGTGACAACAAATAATTTAATGAATTACCTATTAACGTACAAACTATCTCAGGACCACTTGGAAACTTTTTTCTCATTGATTAGGAAAATGGGTGGATTCAACAACAATCCAACATGCTACCAATTTAGAAGTGCGTACAAAAAAATCGTTTCTCACATTAATGCAATTGTTCCACACGAAGGTAACTGCCAAGTTATAGAAAAAGTAGATATTTTGAAAATTTCTAATAATTGTAAAGATTCTGCAATTGAAATTATTAATACGTCTTTTGATCACGACTATATTGATAGCAATGGTTGGTGTTGGAATGACTACCAAAATGACGTAGTAACTTACATTGCTGGCTCCATTGTAAGAAGCTTAAAAAAAAGTCTAAAATGTCAAGTTTGTTTAGATAGCTTAGAACAAGATAACATTTCGTGCGATCTTATTAGAATTAAAAATAGAATAGAGACATGCGACCGGCAAAATGAAACAAATAGCAACATAAAAGGATTATTATTTCCGAGTAATGACGTTATTATTATTTGTAAAACGGCGGAAAAAGTTTTGAGAAGCATGACAAATGTTGTAATAAATAATGTTATGAATATTTTAATGATACATGCCAGGAAATCATTACTCACATTGCATTTGTTTAAAAACATGGACGATCTTATAGAAATATCTGTAGAGAAAAATCACAAAATTGATTTAATTAATAATATTTTAGATAAATATTTTCGAATTCGGTTATTTCATGAAGGAAAATCTAGGCAAGATAAAATTAAACGTATTCGAACATTTCATAATAGACTTGTTATTTTCAAAAATCAATAAATTATATTACTTATTTTAAAAAACTTATTTTTTAAACATTTCGTAATCATAGGAGGTTTTAAACTAAACTTTAATTTGTGAGCTCTCAGCAATCTTCATAAAGCAAGATAATGATTTTATCGAGAAAAAAAAGAAAAAAAAATCAAAGTACACTCCGTTTAATTTTTACGTAATCTCGAGCTTTTTTCTTTGCTAAAAAGTTGATGACGAGATCAGTTGGTACATGTGAGAATAATTTCAAAGCTTTTTCTTTCCGGCATGTCTTCTCCACGCCCTCAACCATTAATCGGTTATTTATTTTCAATTTTTTTCAGATTTTTTTACCTTTAAAAAAATAACCCGTTTCAATATGTATTGCAAGATATGAAGAAAATGTTTTTAATTTTATACTGAAAAAGCAAAATTTCAAATAAATTATTCATTTTTAATAAATGGTATAATTTTTTCAGTTTTCACTTTTTTTAAAATCATTCTTCATGTAATTAACAGCTGTAATTGTTTTCAATAATCAGCGAGTCCAAAGGTAGTATTAAAATAATAAATAAAAAAAAATGTATTTGTCGAGAATTGAACTTGCGCTGGCAAAACATACGCATGAGGTTAGCAAGGGAGGGGAGTATTAATGGGAGGCTTGCGTTGGTTCCCCTGCAACTCTCATCCAGCTTCCCCCATTTTTCTTACTGTGCGAGAGAGAAAGAGATCCTCCGAGCCATTTTCTATCTCACTTCATTGCTTTAACGGCCAGCGTAGCATGCGCAGTCTAGTTATATATGTCTATGGTAAAACCCGACCGGCGAGCTGTCGATTGTCCGTCGTGCGCGAGAGATCGAGCGAACACACCGCCGAAAGCCTACGTGGCTGTCGTGACCTTCGTGGTCACGACTCGAAAATCGAAGCTGTCGAGGACCAGCATCGCGACCGCGAGCAAGGATATTTATATTGTGTTAGTAAGAATCGCTGCCGAATTACGGAATTTCGCGAGTTGTTGTCGTGTGAACGCGGGCAAAACATTCCGTCATTGTAATTAGCTACCGTCGAATAAAATTCGAAGCGAGAACATCCGCCTTCATTATTTCAGCACCCGCCAACTACTAATACTTCCGACATCGCGTGAACCAGCCCCTCTACCGAGAGCAGGGCTGAGCTGCCGGACGTGCGAGCGAGCCGTTCGGGCGGAGGGCCGGTTGTCCTCGTCGGCGAGACCACCGCTTAGAGTAATACTTAGTGTTGAGACTTATTTAGTGGGTACGGACCGCCGTACCTGGCGCCCATCTAGAGCTTTGTTTTGTTCGTGTGAGCTGTCGGGTCTCGCCGGATCTGCCGAACGGTCGCCGAGGCGCGAAGAAAACATCATTTTATGTCGCTGCACTCGATTAGTGAAACCGGCTGCACGAGCCGCGAGAGAAGCGTTACAATATATACAAAAGAACAGGTTTAGAGATATAAAAAAGAAAGAAAGAATTATATGTTCGAAAATAAATGTAATAATGGAATAAATATTTTTCGAATTTCTATTCTTTACCCTTATAGAAATATCATACTAAGAATCATTGATAATTACTTATTATCCAGTATTTTTAATACTGAAAATAAATAATTATCAATGATTCTTAGTATGATATTTCTATAAGGGTAGATATGCAATCTTCGTTTTTAATCTACCTTTTTACATGATATAAATTTTATAGTTCATTATTAACTATAAAGGGATAAAAATTTTCGTAGCATTTTACAAGAATACTAAAATAATATAAAATGTTCTTTCATATAAATATATTTCTATTTGAAAATAACATATAAGAATTTTTCGCTTCTGACATTATAATCTAAGATGGTATGTACGAGTATCTGGGGGATTGAAACAAGCGTTAAATAAATGTATAATTTCTTGTAGCCCCAAAGAGACATTTCTTTATATATATTTATAAAATATTATTTATATATGTTTTTATATATTTCATGTGCTTTTAGTGTATATATGTACCTTTTCAGATTCTGTGTGTAATAATAATTATTTCTATAAGCCGACTAGAGCTGAATTTCAAAATATAGCCAGAGAAGTTTTGCGTTCTGCCAAATAGCGACATCGTACAAGTACCGTATATTGTACAACTGAGAGCGACAAGCAAGAGCAGCCCGATATTTTTGGAATGATTCAAATGTAGAAAATGAGCCTCGGCTCAATATTACAGAACGTGAAAATGAAATGTTATAAATACTTTAAAAGTAAGTTTCCGGGAAAAAATAACCCAGGCAGCAGAAATGTTTAAAATATATAATTGCCCATACAGCACAAAAGTTTGAAAAAGATTTCAGAAAGTTTTCATAAAGATCTCAGAAAGATGTTATGTTTCGGAAACCTTTCTGAAAGCTTTTTGAAACTTCTGTGCTGTATGAGTGGAACATTCTACAAATATCGCAACATCTTTAGAATATCCCCATAATATATTTAGAATATTTTGCTATGTGGGAATTATATATATAATTATATACAATTCGTGAAAAATGATATGCAATTACCCGAGTAGAATAAAAAGTCACAATAACGTGATAATAACAAGAAAATGGTGATATTATGATCAAAAAATTAGTGTTTGCAATCAACATGTCATTATTTTGATTTTATTTTAATTATCGCAACTCTCCGTTCTGCCTAAGTATATACAATTCTGTAATTTTGTTGTGGCAACTATATTTAACCAAGTAAAATTCCTACTATTTTCTCCATAAATTTAAGAAACATGTGTAACCTTTTCGACATTAATATCACGAAATCGTTACTTAATTTATATTTTACTAATAAATTTAACATGTAATAAATGAAATATGTATTTACATATGTGTATAATTTCAAATTACGCTGACTTAATGCCATTATCGAAACATTACGCCGCTATCTAAAACTAACACTATTATTCAAATATGACATCATTCTGCAAATGCACCGCCATTATC